CAACAATATTACCAGGCACAATATGAATAAACAAAAATCACTTTCTTCTTATTGAAAGGAGACAATTAGAGCCTTGTTTTTGTTTTAAATTGCAGCTAGTGTACCTACAACATACACTGTATACTGTATTGTAATAAAAATAATAAGATAAAATTTGTAATAAATAAATATTAGAATTAGGTAGCTTTGTAAATATTCTATAAAATTATTTGTGCCCCCAATAAAAATTAGAGGATGGGTCTTACCGCCTTGAATAAGAATTCTATAATACAATGAAAAAGTGCATTCACACGTAGTAGTATTAAGTGTTAAAACTTTTAACTGTCAACGACATAAACAGCAACACTGCCACCGGTACTTTTAACAAAAATTAAGAACCACAAAGTATGGTTTTCATTGGTGAATGGAGTATGGCATCATTTTGATGGGCTGTGGGAGAGGAATTCCAGAGGACAGGGACTGAAAAAAATGCACAGGGACGCTGTCCACTCCAAGTGGCTTCATCCTCTCTCACTGTGTGTACATTTTCGAAAAGATTTTACATTGAAGTGGCCTGTATCCTTTGATCTGTTGTGAGTGTAGAATAATTTATAAAGTACAAAAACATAGATAATGAATCAAGATTTCACTGTTCAAAAAAAGCAATATTTTGTCTGAAATAAAAATTCGTGCAGAGGGGTTCATCTGAAAAAAAAAAATTCTGCACAAGCAGTGAGCGAAAAAAAAAAATTCGTGCAAGCTGAAAATCCCCCCCCCCCCATCACTTTTCTAATGGTCCGTCCCTTATGATGTTGTGCTTGGCCTGTCAAATCTTATTTCTAACCGGATATTTTTTCACAATTTATGCGAAATAGAATATTTTGCCTGCGGGTCGCTGGAACACGATTAGCGACAGCGTTACGCAGACGTCCCCTTTCCGCGTGCAACAAAGGAAATAGGAGACGTCTGCACGCAGGCAACTTCAGTGCGGCTAAAAAAAACGTTTCTGCGTCCTGGATGTGAATGACTAAAAGCGATTTTCTTTTGTCCGTAAATGTAGATGTTTCCTGTGATGTTCTGTCACGCTGGACCCAGCTCTCTAGTAGTTTTTGCAGGATGTTTATTTCTCTTTAGGGAAGGACCATTGGGGGGGAGGGGGGGGGAGGGGCGTGCGAAGTTTAAAAAATAATTCGCTCAAGGGAAAATTAAATGAAAAAAAATTCTTGCACGCCAATTAATCCTAAAACTAGTAGTAATCATAGATCAATAAGTGCGTTCGAGTTTTCTTAGCTCCAGATTAGCTTTTGTGTCGTCAAGCATGATTTCAAAATCATGGAAGAGATCATGAATTAAAAGGTAGACATTCTTTTCGTAAAAAATGTTCTTCGCGTATACGGCTTCAAAATATCTCACTCATTAACTCTCTACTCTTAAAATGTCTTACTCTCCCTCAAGCATGGTCGATAAAAATGTAAAGTAGATCGTAAAAAGTTCTTTGTTGTTAAAAAGATAAACATGTCACTACAAACTTCGAAAAAATGGTAGCCTTGAAGGTTATAAGTCTTGGCTTCTTGCGTGACACAACTTGAAGTGAAAACAATGATCATAGGAGCGACGGAAACATATTAGGTTTCTGCTAGATTACTGATGTCAGAGAACCGGACAGAATCTTTTGCCATTGTGCAAACTTTTCATCTCATGATTATTTTAAGTTCATGTAGGTCAGTTCAACATGTTTTAAACTTAGCTTGCTTCAGCGAGCGAGATACTTATCATGCAAAATTGTCCGCGTAGAGATATCAGACGTGAATAAAGCATTACAGTTGTAACAACCTGCACTGATACGCTCAAGCTTACTTTTTCGTGCATGAAAGAGGTTAAACTACAAATAAGTAAATAGACTCAAACGCACGGGTAAACTTCTCACGGCACAAATGTTACCTGGTCTTTATTTGTGTGTTTCTACGAAGTTCCAGCTCGATTTGAACGGCATTGACCGAAAAGATTAGCAGAATCATCAGCTCAGTGATAAAACCCGCTTAGAAAACAACTCCAACGTTCATTCTTTTGCCGAACTCAAATATTCCCGTGTAATGTAGTTGACCTTGATGGAACCAGTGATGCACGTGATTGCCATATGACAATTGCTTATGACGTAAACGAGGTATAGTTGCGTGCGCACTCGCACGAGGTATAGTTGCTTGCGCATAAAAATAGTTGTGTGCGCATGTCCACCAGGTGAGCCCGCAATTTCTTTGGCCGGCTATTGGGCTTAAAATTCGTGCGCGCGCTTAATAATTATTCAAAATGGCGCAGATTTTGAACATCGCCCGTCCAAGTAACCAAAAATCTCGAATCTTCACGCCTGGCATGCACAGGTATCCCATCGACCACAGGATCCCCAAAGATTACGAAGCGTTCTCCTAACGTCGAACGCAAATATTCATGCTAAGGCCTAAAAAAAATTCCTACAAGGAATTTGATGACGAAAAAAAATTCCCTCGGCTCAAAAATTCCCCCCCTCCCCATAACTTTTCTAATGGTCCGCCCTTAGTGATTTACAGATCCAAATTTTTAAAAATGGATTGCAAACTGCACTGTGACAAGATTGCTCTTTAAGCAATGATTTTTATTAAAACTCAAGCTTGCTAGGGACGGACCATTAGAAAAGTTATGGGGGTGGGGAATTTTCGAGCCGCAGGAATTTTTTTTCGGCCGTGGCATGAATATTTTTAGGGTTAATTGGCGTGCATGGGAAGTCGGCCCGCGGCCGACGAAGCTCCTCGTAGCACGCGAGAAAACATCTCTGGTTCCCAGGGTAATTTACTGTTCCAAATAGATTAAAAAACAAGAAATGAGCAAAAATTGTGATTCAGGCATAGGATTATGTACAATGTAAGATCAACATTTTCTTCCGCCATTATGTTGTTTTGTGTTTTATATAATTTATGTGTTTTTGTGAACAGCGTTTGCCCTTCCCAAACCCACATATTCCACGACAGTGAATAGTGCTTCACCTTTTAAAGGTTGAAGTGCGAGCTCTAAACGTAGCGAAGAAGACACAGTTAGAAGACAACGCTACTGAGCAGACTTCTTGAGCAACTCATTATGAAAGTACATGGACCGTATGGGGATACTAATAAAGATGATAATTTGAATTGCGGAACTCCAAAAACCTAAATGCAAATATGATCTTTGCAGCTGTGATGTACTGGATCGAGATACAGAGAATTTTGTTGGGATGGGGGACGGGGGATTATACGCGTGGTCGTCGTCACATTGCGTTGTTTGGTTCTCTTCTTCTGTGAAATTAAACACTTTATTTTAGAAGTCGAATTTCTTATAAAGACTTGCGCTGGTAACTCGAGCGCTAAAATTTGTTACTTCTTGAGAAAATCAAGTGTGCAGGCAAAGGAAACTTGTTCTTAAGGTATTTTCTATCGGATTTTAGTGGGAGAGAAGTTTTTTTTTAAAGTACCGAGAACTGAGCTATTTGTAAGATACGCATATAGTGCCCGGTCGATAAAGTTAAATTTAAAGGTACCCGAAATTACGTAGTTATTTGTTTAAGTAAAGTTCTAGAATGAAAACAAGAAAGACGGCTTTTGTGTTGTCTTAAAATGAATTCAACGATACGTTCTCGCCGTAAACCAAGAAACAACAATTTTTCTTTGTTTACAAACACTCCATAATATCTCTATGAAATCTCTATGAAGGCCTGGTGGACGAGGAGGAAACGCCAGCAGTATACGACCACTTGTGAACTGAACATAAGTTTAATTATTTCCTATGTGAGTACCTAAAGTTCGTTATTTTGAAAGTACCAAATTTACATGAAATGCGGCTTGACGATGGAAGCAGTTTATTTGCCCGTCCATGTGGGATAAAACACTGGTTTGTCCCTACTCTGGTTTGCCTCTTTTTTCTATTTTTGAATCCCCAATAATACACTCTGTTTGCCCCTCTCCCCACCCCCTTCCCAAATTGGAGGATTGCATATTCCATTTCCTTAGAGCATGTGAAAACAATAACTTAGGCCAAATTTGGGGGACAAACAGAGTGTATTATGGGTTATTCGAAAATAGTCAATGCTTTCTTTGCTAGCAAAGGTCCCGCTCACGGCGAGAGAAAAATGAGAGGAATTATGTTAACTTCCCTTGACTCGTGGGGTGATGGTGCGGGGCGGGATAACAAATTCTCTTTTCCCTTCCCCCCCTACCCGCCCACGGGAACTATAATTATTTCCATGACGACCGACATGGGTTAACTTATCGGCAAGGTTTAAAGAACGTGACTCGGTTTCGCCGAGGACTTCCTTGGGGTCCTTGAGTACTTTGGCCACACCACTAGTAGCATCGTTTCTATAAACTGAAAAAAGGAAGGACTTTCTCTTTGGGAGGCTGAGGAAAATCACATCAGTAAAATTAACTGTTCTGGTGCAACGCAATAGGGAAAAATGCATGAGGTAAGCATGTCATTGGAAGAACCAAAGCAGGTGAAAGCTGTGGAAAGTAGACGAAGCGGTGGCACAAGACAGAAAGTTTTGGTTAGACAGCGTGGAGGCCTTGTGTGCCTACTGGCGCGACAAAACTACTAAGATGATGAAGTATGCCACTGCCCTTATTTTTCAATCAATGATTGTTTGTCATTAGTCTTTGGCGAATCTAACAAATAGGTAAAGCTTCTGGACTTCTTTATTCTTTACAGCACTAATACAGATTTAATAGTAATTTTCAAAGTCCAGATGATCACATGACTCGAGCTTACTGCTGAGCTTTCGGTACTTCTTCAATGAAGATACGATTCATCGAATGCCAACCAGTGTAGGCGTCAGCGAGCTTATTTCCGGTGACGCATTTTCCAACCGACAATCCTACTCGCACCTTTCCTTTCTGAATGTTGTTGCAGTGACCTTCAATGTGGCGGTGACGGTGAAGATCGTGGTTTCTGCCTGTTTGCTTGTAGAATGCACCGTCAATAGTTCCAGGAGAGCTGCACTCGGCTCCATTAAAGGTGAAATATCAGCGGCTACAGCAGTTGTTACAGTTGTGAATCCTGAGGATACCAGCATAGTAGACATGGAGGGAAGTGTCCGCGTATTTCTTCATAGAGTCACAGTTCTAGACGAGATACAAAGAAACAGCATCCGTTTTGTATTGTATTTTCATTTACTCCATTCCACAAAAGATATTACCTCAGTTGCATATATTTAGACTAATTTAATAATACAAGGTGTTGTGACAAAAAAACTGCAAGTACATAAGGTTAGCAAAGAAATTAAGAATAGAGAAAGGCACAGTATAGTAAAACTAAAAATGGCCCCACTTTAACACAAAACTATACCACGTAGCTTCAAAAGACGCGGCCATAATCTTCGTTAACCGCTGACCAACGCATTTAGGCAATCAATCGTTTTAGTGAAAATTACTTGCTTTGAGCTAACAGAGCATTATTTAACTCGGTTAACAAAGTGACGATCCGCACTTACATATATCAGTCCTGAATCTGTGCCGTATTCCTTTTTCCAAGCGCACTCCTTCCAGTTCATGTGTGAAGCCAGTCGTGTCGTTCCACTGTCGCCTTTGTCCCCTCGCTGTCCTTTTTGTCCGGCGGAGCCCTGGATCCCAGGTTCTCCCTTTGCTCCTTTCTTTCCATCAGCACCACGTGCTCCCTGGGTCCCAGTTTTCCCCGGGCTGCCCAGGTCTCCTTTGGCTCCATCTCGACCAGGTGCTCCTGGGATACATGTCATGTATGTCCACATCCCGGTTTGTCCACCATTATTACAAGATGGACAAGATTGAACAGGCTTCCTAAAAATAGAAAACGTCAATGACAAACTGCTACTGAAGAAGCTCTTCACAATTTTACCTGTCGTCTAGCGTTTCAATCCAAGGCAGGAAGTAGTTCCATAATTGTCCAAGTTTTAATGGGTTTTTTTTTAATGTAATCGCCAATTGTGATTTTGTAAAAAGAAATTTATTTTCCAGTAGAGAGCTGTTTTTGTAAAAATGTTAATTTTGATTGTTTAAAACGTGAAAATGTTCTCTCTCTTCTTAAAATAGTGATCGCGGTTGAACAAGTAATTATACCATCTTAATTTTTTGTTTGAATTTGGTAGTACTGATTTCGATAAATTACACATATAATACGTCATTCCTAGTTTTCTCTATAAACTAACGTTATTTAACTGTAATAAAAAAAATGTGTAGTGACAATATCTGATATATAGTTACCTTGGTGTCTGGTGGTTTGTTGTCCTTAGCAGAGCAGGAACCAGCCAGGAGCGAAAAAATCAGTACAAACAACATGGTGTTCTCTTCAACTCGTAATTGCATCATCAAGGTCCTCTAACTTGTGCACTAGAACTGAAGTTTGATATGAAATATCTTGAGTAGGTCAAACGAAAACACAATGAACATGATTAACAGTTAGCAATTATTGAATGTGGTTGGGTAGGATCTGAAGAATTATGCTAGATCGAGGAGGATGTTATCAACCGGGGCTGAAGGCTCTAACCCCTTCCCCCCCCCCCCTCAAATTCTTCATAACCAACTGGTGCTTACCTTATTTGGACGAAATAGCTGATTTCTAACTAAATCTAAGTGAACAGAAATAATACAAGAATGCGCTAAACATATCGCTCCATGAATTTTATGTGCTTTCTGAGGAGTGTCTGTAACGGACAAACATCTGTTTCTGAAATCGTACCGAGAAATAGGCCAAAGGTTTGAAGAAAGTCTACCATGAGATAATCTTGTTCAGAGAGAACTCAGGAATATCTGGAATGAATTATAATATTCTTTATATTTAAGATATGCCTTGGAATGAATGAACGATTTAAATGCAATGGAATCTCGATGACTGTTACAGCGTCTTTTGAAGTTAACTTACCTTCGCTTTACGATTGCAAGAGCCAAATGATAGCAATGACTATTGTTACCGGTAAATTTATTTCCGCTCTTGCAATAATTACTTAACTTTTCATGTTTTTAAAACAAGTTTTAACGAAATTCGATCCCCCAATCATTACATCTCACGTCTAAAAGACGTCAAGCATATTGACTGGTTCTTTTGGCTTAACAAGAGAAATTCGTGTTTTGTGTTTTTCAGGAACTGAGCTCCTGTGCTTGCAAGTCATGCTGTTGTTCCTTGGTCGAGAATCTACCAGCCACAACATCATTTATTACATTTATTAAAATTTTATTGCGTGTAAGATCTATCCCTTCGTATAGCTCAATCTTGTCCTTTGACTGCCGGTAATCTTTTGTACTGGTGTTGTAGGACCTTGTAGCTTCACGAAGATGGCTGTCACCTCATCACCTTTTGGTGCAGTGGAAAAAAATGAAACCTAAGACAGTTTGCAAGACTGAGTCTTACCATAATATGTTGTTGTTTAATTAGGATTTTTTTTTATACTCTATATATTACTGTAAACCCAAGCGAAGTACAATTTATTAGAAGTTACTGAAAAACAGGAGAAAAAGAAATTACAATAATTATTGCAAGTTCTTCCGTCGTTCATTTCTGTATCCAGAATAAAAAACAGAATTTATCCACATCCAGATTTGAAAATTCTCTTTGTAGAGGTCAACACAACAGTATATAAAAATAAGCAATGTTGCAATGATTCTGAACTATATTCAGAATTGTTTGATAAAGACGCTTAACATGAATCATGTTTGATACTATATCATTGGACTCTGAAAATCCCTTCTTTTTTTACCATGGTAAATGATTGTTAAATACTGCTTATTAACATTGTACCCGATTAAATTGTTCTGTGCATTATACATTGAAAAGTCCTTCCTAATCTGATCCGTGACAAATTACTACGGGCCGAAGGAGATATAGAAAGCGTAGCGCGTATATGATTTACCTTGTTTGCCATGTGTTTTCATTCCTCATCTCGTGATCTGTCTTCATGAAATTAAGTTATGAGAACTGGAAGAAAGAAGAAATAAAGAAACATTGAATCAAAAAGCATAATTTAAATAAAGCTAGAGAAAACAAGAAAGCTTCGAGCACTGTACATACCAACACTCTGCAAGGAATTGAATCATAGAATTTTCTTGTTTGAATACGTTTCTCGGCGTCAAAACATGCTCACTAAACAGCCTACGTATGTATTCTAATTTCAATTAAACAATTTCATTCGCCTGCGTAAATATGAGGTTGCTGAGTAATCAACGCACCCGACGAAAGGCGTCTTTGCATAATTTTTGAACTACTGTACACATTTGTTTCTTACAACATCATTTTAACCTACAGTGTACAAGTTTTACTAGAAATAAATTGATGTTGTACTTGGATTTTTTTTTAATCCGAGTGCGATTATTCATATATAATCCAAAGTATAACTGTACAATTGAAAGAAAAGTTGCAGTCTGAGATATCGCGAGATGATAATCCGACCTCTTATAGAAATTATTTCCCGAAACTGACCTCGAATTGAAAGAGTGGTACATTGTTGTACTCATTTTCCGTCTTAGCAGCTATCATCCATTCTGGTCCATCTTATTCCATCCAGTAAATAATCCTAGTGCAATCAGTTAACTTTAGTGATCTTACACAGTCGCTCGATGATTCACCATTTGTGGCGTGTAGCACCGGTTCATTCTTGACTTTTTTATTTCTTGAGAGGCACTAAATAATATAGCGGTCTCCTCAGAAAACAAACAGTTTCTGTATTTTCAAAATTCTTAACTCAAGTATTCTGTTAGTTTTTGCTTGTCTTTGAACAACTGTATGGTCAGTTAAGAAACAAGAGCGGCTTTTTTCTGTACGAAGAGCGTTGAACTAAACAGATGCACCCAACGACTGTATTCTTTGAAGTATCTGTTCAGAGAAGCAAATATTGCCTGGAATGTTGTACTACTTTAGGACGGCTAAAAATTTATAGGTGAACGTTGCATTCAAGCACAATTTTCGAAGCTTATCTAATAAATTCCCTACGGTTTTTTTGAAGTTTATTTTTTCACATTTCACTTCCAAGGTTAGGCTATTTTTCGTAGAAAAAAGGAAACCTAAAACGTTCGGATTAGAAAATATGATGGAGAGAGGAATCAGAAAAATTATCATTTCCGTCAATGCGTTTAACTGCCTCTAAAATTTTCGGGAAAATAATTCTGAAGCCCTTGTAATTTCAAAAAGGTTCAAGTTCCCATTCGATGAGCGAATAGATACACAAATTTTCATAGCCCTGCATAGAATGCAGTACTCTGGATAGGCTAAAAAGTTTTCAGTCTCAATGTATTTAGGAGGAGATCGTCGTTGGGTGCCCCTCTGTATAAAGAACCATTATATTTGTGGAACATATTTATTAAGTTTCCTTTGTAAGCATATAACAAATGATTTAACAAAAAAGTCGATTTTGGTTTTGTAGTTCGATAATTTAACAAGCTTGTCGAACTGTAAAAATGAATAAAGCTTAGTTTCAAATCGCTGTATTACTCTACACGTCACTTTTGATTACGGAGCTTATATATGTCGCTGTGTTGAACACATTTTTTGTTATTATTTTATTGGTCGTGTTAATAATTAGTAGTTGTAGATATCAATTATTTTATTGGCCGTGTTAATAATCTTGTCGAGCTGTAAAAATGAATGATAAAAGCTTGGTATCAAATCGCCATATTACTCTACACGTCAATTGCTTTTGATTACGGAACTTTTATGTGTCGCTGTGTTGAACACAATTTTTTGTTATTATTTTATTGGTCGTGTTAATAATCAGTAGTTGTAGATATCAATTTTCTTTAAATTCACTATTTCGACTTTATCATTCACGACTACCATTATAACCGTTTGCCTTATTAACGATACTGTTGGTCTTGTTGGGCCCCAGAGTATATTATCCTATTAAAACCATAATTGTATGTTTCAGGCTCGCACAAACGGCTCTGACTCGATACGGCGGCGGTGATTCTCAGCTGACCTACCGATTAGTCCTCGATGTTTGAGATGTGTGTCATTTAGCATTACTCGTAAACTTCTACTGTCCATAGTCATACATGTATCTAGCAAACAAAAATTGAACACAATTTGTGGAAAGGATTATCCACAAGCTAGAGTAGATATACATGCTACTAATACATGTAAGATGAGATGATTCCAAAGCAGGAAATTCTAAACGATCCTATAGATCAGATTTGAGTTTGGGATTCTTTTTTCGCCTATTCGCTGTTCTTTAGTAAATGGTGAAAAGCCTAAATGTTTCATGGAAATTTTCTCCGATCCTCAGAAAATTCTAGGTTCGCTTGAGACACTGTTAGCAGAATCATTCTTCGGCACTGGATATATAGTACTGTTCATTTCTTGCTTACCGTTTGAAATCATGAATGAAAGTCTTAGTTTTGGTTTGGGAGCTAGATGACTTCATTTAGCTGCCTATTCACTGTTCTTCTTATTGAATCAACTGTATGAGTTAGCTTTGTAATAGTATTTCACTCTTAATTGTTTAATATTAAGTTCTACAGGTAATCAATTGTGAGAGCCTTAGCACAACGAAATATCTCTGTATTTTCTTCGAGAAATTGTTCCCTAAAGTAAAGAGCTTTTCACTGAAAGCTAAAACGCATAACAGAGCGAAATTTTGGTAAAATTTCAACAAAAACTTCTAGTAGGAAAGCTATGTTTTGGAATTTTGTAGCCTAAAAAATAACGAGTTCGAAAATTGCTTTGTAAATTCAATCTAACAATTACTGAAATATCTAGAAAATTTCATCAGTGTATACTGATTTAGAGCTGTGAAAGTGTTTTCACGGGTAAAATTTGAAACCGTGACTCGTAGGCGGAAATTTACTGTAATTTTATGCTTGCAAATAATTTGGAAGCATAAAGTTACAGTAAATTGCTGAGTACACTGAAACCAAAACTATTATGGAAATCGTCTTGGGATTCCACGAAACATTGAATATTCACAGACGATTTACTGAGTTATGTATAGGAACTCTTAGCTTGTTTAATACAGCTGTAACAATATTAACGGGAGTCTGGTTAATGTATTTGCGACCAAACGAGAAAAACGTAACCGATTCGACATAGATATAAAAACATTTTACAGTTCACCCCAAATGGTAGGTAGATAAAATGATAATTTGAATTTCGGTTTACGCTATATTGTTGAATAAAATCAGAACGGCAATGATGATAAAGGTCTCAGTTTTGTCAAAAGAAAAATGTTCTTACCTGTAAAATTGATGTTAGCCGTCTTTTTTGACAGTATTAACCGCAATATACCATAGAAAATAATTCTTTCATTCATCCAAAATTTTCAGTGGAGTTTTCTTAATTTGTTCTTGTTTTGTCCAGTTTACCTTGATTAATATTCGATATCTTA